CTGTGATCTTGAATGTGATCGAAGATGTTTGCTATTTTTTGGGTGTACATATAAGGTTATCAATTCGATGTAAGATGTTTCACTCTAAAATAACTTAGCCTTTCCCTCAAAAGTCACATGAATGTGCCCTAAAGTTAAATGATTTGTGGATTAAAAGTTTATTGTTTGATTTAAATTATAAATTTATTAAAATTGGAGCTTCGCTTTTAGCCCTGGCTAAATCTATATATTACAAACAATAATAGCTTGACTGTGTTCCTTGCAAGGATGTAGTTGAGTGGATGCCAATGATTTGATCTGGGTTTATCCAGGACACTCTGAGATGATGCTTGACGTAGACGTTGTTGACACGCAGGTGTTGTCCATTCTCATTCATTTATCCTGTTCCAAAATGACTCAGCCAGTAAGGCCAACAGCCGTAGTTGGTACCCACTCGTACGTTTAAGTCGACGAATAAAAAAGTGGTCCTGTCTCTTCGTGGAACCTATGCTTGGTCTCAGCTGGGGAGTTAAGGGCGCTTGGTTAAGCAATGATGAGACTGACAGGTTCATTGGAGGAGGGGAGATGAAGAGATAGAATGAGCGCAGTTCTTTCTGTTGCAAGGAAAAAATCAGGCAGCTTCTGACAGCAACCCCCAAAATCATGCACTCTGGTCAAGTTGTTGACTTGCCTTGCCAGAGGGAAGTCAATTTGTTTCTTGTCCATATGTAGCCTGCTTTGCTTTTGTCGATGACTGCTGCTTTACAGGTTTCATTTAATGCAAGAAGATCGTTTATGAGGCCAGTTATCATAGTCTTGAAGTTCCAGGCGTCCAAACTTAAGGCAGTTACTCGGCGAGACAGCAACCTTTTGGGCAGGTGCTGCCCAGCTTAAGGCGGAGCAGGAGCTACCAGTGAAACGCGATGGTCTCTCCCATGGTCAGTCCCTGGCGTATAACTTTACGCCAATTGAGGTGAAGACATATAACCGGTATACTGCTGCTTCGGTGTTGATTCGACGCCGATCGGCGAAGCTGAAGGGTCCTCTCCAATGTGCAAAGCCTGGGTAAGTATCTATGGATGATGAGCTGTTATCAAATCGGCAGATTTCCCTTCTCCACGTCGCTGAAATTATCCAATGGAAATCTTGTGGCAGAAAAAGTTCCATCGTTAGTACGTCTAAAATACGTGCATTTCTGCCATACCAATAGTAGAGCATTTCAGGAGCCGCACAGAAAACAAGACATATGACTAAGGAAAAGTCAATACAACCTAAATGTAATCATTTATAGAACAAATAAGTCAAGTGAACGCCACAAGTTAACAGGCGAATCATGAACGTGGCATACATTTAAGCTCCGTTTATATTTTAGGGCGATTATATATAGCTGAACCATTTGTCCACTCCAAGAGCTTACAACAGCGGTCGTGCATACTCTGATTCTCTCGCCTTTACCTAGTTGACTCGGCTAGGTAACCCAAAGTATATGGAGAAAAGATGACTCGGTTTGGTGGATGACCCTGCCATCGAATTAGGGTGACCCAGCTAGGTGGGTCACTCCTTCTACCCAACTAACTTTTTTTCTTCATCGTGACGGTTTTTCAAGGTTTGTAAGTAAATTTAGGAAAATTTGGCTCACCCAGGGTTGCTTGGGTAGGCGAGTGACCCCTCTTATCTAAGAAACGTTTTCTCTACACAAACAGGGCCTTAAAAACACATCATCACATTTACAAACTAGTAAGTGTAGCTTTCCTTGCTGACAATAAGGTTTAATTAATAAGGTTCTGTTGACAAACGTTGAGAGACGTACACTGTCAGGCGTTTTTCTTCGGGCAATTTTTATAAACGGAAGGAAAAATACCGACAAATCTGCAGGAAAATAAAAAACTCGTCTGGGTAAATTTAAAGGCTAAAGTTTACAAACTTTTCAACTCGAGCACTCTTTCAGTATTTGCATTTTTGGAGTCCAAGAGCGAAAGGACATACCAAGTAAAACCCTGCCTTTAAACGGGGCAGTCTGTGTGCATTGAACAAACATGTCTTGGAAATTCGTTCGTCGCTGTTTACAAGAAGGGCCTATAAGCATTAGGGACCTTACTCAAAAAGTGACGACGATGCAATGTAATACAATCATGTACCTTGTAACAAAAATCTTGCTTTAATAACCTCGTTATTAATTATCTTTTTTTGTTTGCCGGGCAAGTTAGAGGAAGAACAGAAAATAAGTGTCAAGACAAAAAAGCTTGAACTTGATTGAGGACTTCTCGGAAATGTACCAAAGTGTCAATAGCACGTGCAGCCGTGCAAAGACATGTTTTACGGTTATGTCAGGAAACGTTTGTTTAGCCTTTCAGGCCGAAATCGCCTTGTCATAACCTGAGTAACTTTCTAACTGACATTAACTAATTCTTTTGGGTTTTAGAGGCTGCTAGGCATTCTCCCCTCTTAAATGGGAAGGTACGGTCAAGCACTCACTCGAGTATATTCAACTTTGAATGTGCTCATGAAAATCTATATTTAACTCATCAAAAATGGTTGAACAACTTCCTGAAATTTGAAACTGACTCTATATTTGTATTACAAGCAAAATCCGCCCATACGCGTAAAAAACAAGGTTTCATTCTTTGTTTTTCCCGGTACTTTTACGACAACGATCACTGGATGCACTTCAAAGACGCAAACACGTTTTCTTTTAATTTAGCCACAGTGTAGCTGAATCAGAATTTTTTTTTAGAATCTTGCAATTATTTTACATTTTATGGCTCTTTCGGAATGAACTATTCTCACTGGAAAGGACCAACAACAGCTAAAATGATCTTTATCCAAGTGCATGCGTTTCTAGCTGACCAACAAAAGTTGTAACCAATAAATTTGAGTATCCGTTTACAACTTACACGGCCATTATAAGGTATTTGCTTCATTTATACGTATCGGTGGCCAATATAAACCAAGCCAAATATAATTAAGTAATTCGATCTTTATCATAATGGCATCAACAACCACACTATATTCCTGTTTTGGTGCCAAACAGAACAATGATATCCTAAAGTAAGCAAATGCCATTGGAGACATATTGCATCAATGGCCTTATCACTACTCCAAATGACGTTGGGGCGGGAAAATGTTTAAAGAAACATGGAATATCATATCTACAAACAATTGCTCATAATGCACTTAAGGAAAGTGATTTTCTATAACCCGTGACTAACGACCAACGCTCCTGTTGAGGAACTTCTACTAGAGTTCGAATGCACTGTTCCCCGGCCCCGTATTTGGCCTCAAGGTTGAGATATGTATAAATCGGAAGTAAAAACAAGCAAATCTGACTTCAAAAAGGAAAAAAAATGTTAATGAGCCTAAAAATTAGTTTTCGTCTATTAAACGATCGCAGTTTTGCGTGTATAAACCAATACAGTTTTGTTCACGAGTCAATTTTTGCACCAAAAAATTGAATGCCGTGCTTTTTGATAGCATTCCAAGAATATATATGATTGAAATATATATGATTGATCAACGAGGGAATAAACCAGATAATTTATCCTTGCAAAAAATGATGCAAGATGAAGTTTACATCTTCCTCTACAGTCAACATATAAGAGACAGCAAGGACATTACACAATGTAACAGTCACAGCAAAGAAGTCGAATTACAAAGGCCTACGTGAAAGGTGAGAACAAATCTATTTCATACCATCCCTCTGCGAAGTTGTAACTAAACAACTGCAAAATTGTGAGTTAGGCATGGGGAACCCTGTATGCAAGCCTTCGCTTTTTCAGCGATAATAGAAGCGTTCGATTTATATAAATGGGAAAACCAGCTTTTGGTCGTCACTCTCTTTTGTAGAAGAGAGAAATTGTTTTGTTTTTATGATTGTAGTTATTGTTCAGTGCTTTTTTTTTTTATTTACAGATTAAAAATGAAACTTTTTAAGGGGATTGTTGCTGCCATAATTACTGTGACGTTGAGTTCACAAACTCTCTGCGCCCCACCACAGTCAGCACCAAGCACAATTCAAATCCTCGTCACTTATGTGATTCCATCCAAAACTGCCAATGCCACATATGAGGTATGAATGGTGTGAGGTTTGTAGCTGATCAGAAGTAATATTTTCTAAAGAAAGGTTATTTAGCCTTTCTCTCTTTCAATTCATGCTACTCGAAAACTACATCAAACTCTCGCGTACGTTCCTTTTCTATTGGTACATAACAAAAGACTGTGATCACATGTATTTCTCGAACAGGAAATCTAACACATGAATCAAAAACGTCCAGCGATTTTATTTGTGCTGTCCACTGACAGTGATGCATAAAAACGTTGAAGAGATAATTGTTGATTATTTGTTACCAACAAAAGATGACGGTCAATTGTCTTTTTTCTGGTTTCTTGCTGGCCTGAATTTCAGCCGTCTCGGCTTCGAGCCGTAATCTCCCGAGAAAGACGTCTAAATCAAACAAGCAGCTCATATTGTCCAGTGAAGTCACTAGCCGAAAACTGGAAACCAAGAGTAAAACAATTATTTACCGTGCAGACCTTTCCGGACGATATTTCTTTGTTTGCCAGTTGAAAATAGCGTTGTTCTTTCTGCATGAATTAATTAAGCAAAGGAGTAGTGACGTCACTGGACGGCATTACCGGCTCAATGATTCAGACGTCTCACTCGTGCAGTTTGCAACTCGAGGAGATGGTTGAAATTCACTCTAGTATCTCGTAAGCTATTATAGAAAAGTGAAAATGTTCACCTCCTTTTTTCCCTATCTATCTATCTATCTATCTATCTATCTATCTATCTATCTATCTATCTATCTATCTAATGTCACTGTTTATCTAAATATCGATTTATTTATTTATTTATTTATTTATTTATTTATTTATTGCAGATGAAAAACCTGTACCACTTCATCAACTCAACAAGTTATCTTTTCGAGCCACCCTTCAGCCGCTTTCCGCCACAAATCAACACACAATCTTGCACCTTAAACCAGGTATCCCTTTGAAATCCTTCATCTAAAGCTAACACTGACTATACTCTCATGATTTAGTCACAAGCTATGACTAAATTCATTAGATTTTTTTCAATTTAAGGACATTGATTGAACGAAAAGAAGGAAGTTGACAATAGGTGCAGATTCGTGCAACCAAGTTACTTAAAAAAACACAATTGCTCCAATCGGTTTATTTCTCTGCTGTATATCCAATAAATTTTGACAGTTCTAGAGTGGCTGTTAGGAATGTATTTGAATATCGTTTTTTTTTCTGAAGCAATTAAAGGACAATCTAACAATCGCCTATGAGAAGATGGATGTTTTCAGAAGTCCGCTGTACATGGCCTTATCCTATGAAGAAAATCAAGGGTCGTTGCACAATTCAGTGGCTCAGATGCTCTGGGACATAAGCACTGACATCAATGCGACATCTGTAATGCTTATTCGCGAGGTAACAAAATTTTGATTTGAATTGAATTATAACTTTTTCGAAGGGACCCAAACACGGAATATATTTTTTGCAGGCCAAGAACGTGATACTAGTTTAAAATGATTTATTTTAAAATAGATTTGCCACATGTATTTTTCCCAAGGTTTAGAGGAAGTCCAAACGAAACGACACCAGGAAACCTGACAAAGTATTTCGCATGTGATTAAAAAATTTCACTTTTACAGCCTACAAAAGCTATCCATATTTTCTCTGTGTTTTCACAGTATATCGTGAAAACCCTTTAGGCCATCATTTATTCCAAACGATTAGATGCAAAACGAAATAGATTAATTACTTAATTTTAATTCCCCACAGTTGTTGAATAGCTGGGTGGCGCTATCCATCGGATAAATCACTATCCAGTCGATAAGTATTAGAAAAACTAATTGCAATATCTATTGGATTAGCGCTATCCACCATTTGAGCAACTGGGGACAGCGATTAAAATCATTCAAAATAAGTCTGATAAGTCTCAACATCTTTTGCAAATTTTTCAGATGCAAAAGAACACCTTCCCTGTACCAACCACTGCTACTGGAAATTTTACGGCGCAGATGAACCACATCATTCGAGTGTATCTACAAACACTGGTTAAAGCTAACTTGCTGGTAAGATAATCACTTCTCGTACCAAAGAATTGTTTTTTTCAGGGATGAAATAAAGAAAAAAAATATGTAAAAGACCATTACTGAATCTACCCAAACAAAATTTAGTATACTGCTGTTAACTCCTTAATGAGGCACTTTTGGGGAAAATTTTCCTTTAGTTTAGGCAGGGAATGAAAAAACTAATAACTTGAGCTACTGGTAGCTGCGTGGTCATTCCCGAAAAATTTAATGGTGCTCTTAGTTATCTCATGTAGGTGCGATGTGGAAAAAGTGTAACGGTAATGTGGTTACCCTGAAATGAAATCCATTTTCTTCACAGCAAGGTCCTCTTACAGATGACATGGTGACGATTTACCGCAATTACGTCCTTCTCTACTCGCTACAAAACGTCGTTAAAGAGGTCACTACTTGTGTCTTCTATTTGTAAAAGGAAAAAACGCTTGCATTACACCCTGGTATAAGCAAGCAAAACGTCGTATTCCATACTACTCAGGAAAAAAAAACAAGACAAACAAAGTTGTTTAAGAGATTACAAAGTGTTCGATATTTATATATGATGTTATGGTTAATTTGAGCCTGGCCAACAGGCTCATTAAGAGAAAACAGGTTTGTCGGGTTATTTTACTTTGTTGTATTTTTTTTTCTCGTAATTTCCATAGAAACTGCTTCTTGTTTTTTTCTAGCCTCTATATAGAGTGTACTTAGTTACCTTAATCCTAAAATGCATCAAATGCTGATATCGTTGTTTGTAACTGATCGGGATCAGTTTATACTGTAATCTGTAAAAGATGTTTTAAGGACTGTAATCATTGTAGGCGTTTGTTGTTATTACATTAACAATAAAATGCTAAATAAAACCAAGTTGAACACTTTTGCATTGTGTCTTTATTTTGGTCCTGACAAGCTTGTGTAGAGGTAAAAAAGAATGGCAATTTTTTTCAGTCCCTTGGCAGTGGCGAGCAGATTGATTCAAAACTGTATTAAAATTAACAGCTCGCAATTTTTCTGTTTCTTTAATTGTTTAATAAGCTGATAATTAACTTAATTCAGTTTAGCCTGTTTCAGACGTCGAATTAAATAGGCCATTTGTACTAAGAGGTCATGTGACATCATTTTTATGAAAATGAAAGTTATATGATTTTGCCTTCGAAAAACCATTAGTGGGTCATATCTTAAACGAAATAATAGTTATTTAGTTTTTCAAAACCGCACTACTTTCTTAAAAGGTGTAAGTTCTTAGCTGGTCACGTTAATTCAGTGGTAGAGTCATGGAAGTAATAAAAGAAACCCTTTGAAAGAGATGTTTGTCTAGTCCAATTAAACCTCCCGCAAAAAATAGCAACATTTGCCTCTCGGAGACAGCGTACCAGCACAAAGGAACGAGGAAGAAGTGCAAGAAAACAAGTCAAGCAGCAATAATTCAGTGACAGCGGCAGTGTCTAATGTACAAACCACATCCCAAGCCCTGACCGAAGTCGAAAACAAGCGACATCTCTAAGCAGAGTTCCAGTCCACTGCATCACACCTCTTTGCTCGGACGCGCTCGTTTCACCGCCCAACCTTTATCCGCCCAGGGGCCCGTTTCTCGAAAGTCCCTGTAACTTTTCGGGCCCGAAATCAAATATTCAAATCGAAATATAAAGAATAAGAGCGCGGGTCCTGGCTAGCGAACTACTCCATTTTGTTTCATTAACTGATAGTTTTCCCACGTTAGATGCAAAAGTATTGAAACCTCGATCTTTAATGGAAACGGAGACAGCTTACCGGGCCCGTTAATTATCGGGACTTTCGAGAAACGCGCCCTTGGGTTCGAACTATTGACAAGCGCCAAATTTGCGAAGAAATTTTAAAAGAGTTACGCTTCAACGTGATAAAGAATATATTGAGTCTATTCTTTATTAATGGTTTTATAACGATTTTAATCGTAAAAAGCGTTTGAAACGCTCGGCATTTTGAGTACTCCTGCAAACGATGTTTATGAACGGCTTAAAACAAACGGCAAAGCGATGAAACTTACACTTTTGAGACTACCAACAATCAATAAAGAAATATAATTCGGTAGAACATTTACAGAGACAACAATTTTCATTCACGAAAACAAATGAGTATTTAAATGTCTCTAAGAATCCTCAGGTGTTTACTAGTAAGCATAAAGATTAAATTTATGTTTTAAGCCGCCGGTTTCCCGGTGATTTGCTGTTTTCAAAGATGAACTCACGGCAAGAAAATCGCTCAAAGCTTTCTTTCTACAGCCAAAATTATAACTAAATATTCTTCGGAAAGTCTTTTCTTTCTATTTACGGTGAATTAATATCGACTAAGGGCTTTTTAAAGTTCTGTAACCTTAACCTTATATCAAACCTCATACTAGGTCAGATCAGTGTCTCAGTCAAATCTTAATGCAAACGTGCATAAACTAGCTTCATAAACTACGCCGCTGGACTTCATGAAATCAGATATAAATACAATAATAACTCAGGCTTACCATTTTTCGAGATGCACCTCCTGAAAGCTATCAAGTAAGGCAAGGATCACTTGAGCCTTTATAATTCTCGTACGGATCCAGCAAGGTGAAAAACAAAAACGATGCCATCCGAAATCGGATTATCGGCTTTGACAAGCGACGCATTTCTCAACCAAAAACCCAATAAACAAACCAGCCATGAATCAGAGAAGACTCTTGATAGCAGCTGTATTTCATTTTGTACATCTAGTGAAAAAAAGACAGTTAAAAACATCACAAGCTGACTCAAAACTCTGTCAGCTTCAGCTGTCAAAGTAAACAACTTTTAAGATGCTGCATTTTTACGCATGAACTCACCTGTCAAATTTGAACCAATCAGAGCATAAAAATTGGACGTGGAGCGTGATCAACACGTGACCATGGTAAGAGAAAGTCTTCCCGCCTAAAAAGTAAACGTGACCCTGCGATCATTTGAAAACGAGTAAATTGTCAGCGGATAACTTCAAAATATACTCGACCTTGATGGGTCAACACATGAGCCCGTGATAGGGTCAGGTGATACTGGTCAGCGGATACCCTGTTTTGACAGCTGTCAATTGATGACAACATTGATGTGCAATCAGCTTTCTCCTGGGCTCCCAAAGTAGCTAGAAAGTGTGAGAGTAAACACTGGTATGCCTGTGGTGAGGACGGACGGTCGCTCGGTCGGTCGGCCGGTCACGTGATTACCAAATTTTCTGGCATGGGTAGATTTATTTACCCATCGTGCTCCGCTGGTGCGCTTCGATCGCTGAGCTCCGCTACGAATTACCTCTTTCTGAACAGAAATTTTGCACTTAAACTTCAAGAAAAATTGTGAAAAGATGATGTGCTAACATTTACAGCTCATCTGAGTAGTAGTTTTGGCCGCCATGTTGGAGGGCATGAGTATGCCCTCCAACATGGCGGCCAATACAAATCATACTACTTTGTTACTTTGTTACTACTTCAAAGTGCTGTAAAATACCTCCCTTAAATGCGTTTTTTCTCAAATTTCGGGTGTAAGATAGTTTTTATGTGCTCTGTCAATTTTTGTCATCAACAGGAATCCAAGTCATTGTTTAAAGGAAGCATTGGTCATATGACCTCTTAGTGCGAATAGAATGGCTGTTGCCGAAAACGAAACACAAAAATAAAGAAACGATTTAGCAAACTTTTAAATGTATTCTAATCTAAGTATTATTTATGAATTGAGTTCGGCAAGGCAGTGGCGCGACGTTTGAAACCAAGTCGAGCTACTGCCGTGTAGCACGACTTGGTTTCAAACGTCGCGCTACTGTCGTGCTAACGTCGAATTTAATTCGATCAATTTAGTTCGGCTGGCGGCAGTAGCACGACGTTTGAAACGGGGCCTTGTTTTGTATTTTTCTCATACGTACGTTCCAAGACACCTTTTTTTTATTTATTTTTTATTTAGGCTTCTTTGACAGACTCGTTTTTGGTTGACTAAAATATACAGCTAGGAATAATACACGGCGGTACAATATTAGATTTCTATTTTCGGGTGGCAAAACGGGTATGTTATCGCCTTGAAATTGGTTTTAACAACTTGAGCGTCAAAAGTGATGAATGGAAAAAAGGCACATCTTCCGCGGCTTCTTTTTTAATTTCGGAGGGGGGGTGGAGGGGGGAAGTGGAGTTTGTTTTCCTTTTTTTTTCAAGATTTTAGCTACCAAATACGTCCTCATTTGGCGGCTCTTTCCCACAAAAACCCATCCTTAGGGATTTATTCCTTTTCAGACAAAACTTTTGTTTCCTTATGTCATAAATTTGTCACCCCGAGATGTCAACGACAAGGTAGCAATAATAACAATTCTTATAATAAAAAATAATCATAATGCTACAAATATGTCTTATGATTTATTATTTCAACTCAACTAACCAACGAAGAGGTAATTGGTCAAACATATACACAGAATTTAGATCCAGATTGCTTCGGCCATTATCAATATTGGACCACATTTAAATATATCAGTCACCAAACTTTGGCCCAAACTTTAAATAACCAAGCATCTTTAGAATTGTTTCTCTCTATCACCAACTGTTGCTGAAATAAACACACTGTCTAATTCCAGTTCGCTCTAGTCCTCTAGGACCCTAAAAGATGATTAAGATTTTCTTCGATTAGCCTCACATAAAACAATATTGTCATCCTCAAATAAACAGAAGACCTTGAAGAATTTCAGTTCTTTTTCTTTAACTTCGTTACGCTATTCAACTAAGTGAGGTTCATGTTATGGGGAATATTCTCAGCCTGACATCGAATATCATATCCACTGACATTTGCTAATAATAAACTTAAATCGAACTTGAGTTCCTGTGACAATTGACACAATTGGTGAAGATTTTGCGTTATCCGTGACGAGTATTACAATCTAGCTTCCGTTTAGGAACTTTCACTTGGATTTGAAGTAAAACAAATAAACCCCTGATATTGGGCCTCAAAATAGCACTGGATTATGAAATTGCTGGAAAATAGAAGCCAGTTCTAAGCAGGAAGTAAAGGAAAATCTTAGGAAGAAATCTCAATATTGCGTTTCCATCATTTAGCGGAGATTCCGGTATCGGAAGGTCTACGATGTTCTTAAACACGCTTCCTATTAAAAGTAAACGTTATTGAATTTTTTCGTGTTCGAGGATGATGTAGAATACTTCTGAGAATATAACATGATTACTAGTGGTACATCAACCATGGAAAGATGTATGACAGGAATGATCCAAAACGATTACCTTTTACAGAAAAATGATGCGAGTCTGCATTGAGTTACGTCTTCCACAAAATGAACTTATCGGTATCAACCCATTCCGGAGTCCATATCTATATCTAATATACAGCATTACCGAATGCCATGTGTGATGGTAGGAAAGCATATTTCCCAGAATATAATATGATTGGAAGTACTTTTAGAGTTAGAAAGATTTGC